AAGCTATCTGTATATATATATATATATATATATATACAGATAGCTTTATCATTAATCTGCACTTGTTTTCAGTTTGACCAAGGCTCAATAATCAGTAGGTTTTACTTGAATCCCTGCTTTAGTAAAACTGCATACATTAAAATAATAATAATAAAAAAAAAAGATCAGACTTTGAAATGCAAATGAGATTAATGAATAATTGTAAAACATCTTTTTTAATCAGCGTGTGGACCAAAAAGGAAATGAATACAGAATGGCCTAATATCTCTCTGAAAATAAACATCTCTTCATTATGTAAAGTTTTAGTTTTGTGCTGAGAATCATAGAAGACTTTAAAGTGCATGCCCTGTGGCATAAAAATGCTTTTTTTACGAGAGTAATGGCGACTGTAGAGTTTTGCTGATGTAGCACTGTTGGCACCTCCAGCCTCCTTATTTGTGACCTCTGTCAGTTGACAGTGGAGGTCTCCAATAAGCAACAGTGTTGGTGAGCAGCACTCTCCAACCTGTCTCTTTCAATAGCAGCTGCTTCATCTGCTCTTGAAAGAAACAAGTGCTTCCCATACCAACTCGCGCCCTCCCCTCTTAATTGTTTTCCGTGCTCTGCTGAGTCTCTCCTCGCCGACACTCTGTCCAACAGCTAAAACTGCAGCACCATTACCCTCCCTTTAATGTGTCCAGTGTTGCCTACTTTGAACAGGTAAGAGGAACTTTTGAAATAAAGCTTAAATTTTGAAACAGTCTCTGAGGAAGCCTTTTACAAGCAGCATCTCCAGGGAGGGCAGCAGCAGCAGCACAGCTGTCGAATTGGGTTCTTCTTTTTATACCTCACAGCCATCTTAAACTTCTCATTAGTTGCAGCTACATAGTCCTGTGTCCTTTCAACATTGGTTTGGATGTGCTCAATACTGGCTCCTTGTTCTTCTACTAGAATAAAGATATCCATAAAAAGATCTCTCAGCTCCTTCATATTGTTCTCCAGGCTCAACAGCTCCTGTTTATGGGGACAGATAGAGAGATAAAATGGAGGATTTAATCAGACGATGGGGAGAATAATGTGCAAACATGCACAGTGATTAATTTCTCTTCTCCTTGTGATCGTGTGTCTGATAGTGGAGTTCTACGAAGGTGGATGAAAGTTATTAATTTTAAGAAAGGTGTTTGAAACATTTGTCTGCTTTGATATGAAACTTGTTTCTTTTCAGTTAGCACCTAAATGCCAACTAATTTGCAATTTGAGCACAATATAATAAAAAGCAACTTAATAAGATGATGACAGATCTAAAAATTACTGTATTTATTAATGATATTTACATTTATCAGTTTTGCGTCATCCAGTTTGGGTATGTTTTTTGATGTTTTGTGAGCTTTTCTCACCTTGTGCCGCTGCTCGATCTCAGATAATTGTGAACGTGTGATCTTGGCATCGTTTAGCAGGTTCTCGTTGAACACCTCCCAGTTTCCTGTGACGACCATCTCATTCACCTCCTCCTCTGTAACTTTCTTGTTGGATACCTCCAGCTGCCGCATAATGAACTGCTTACAGCACTCCTGCTTGGTCAGCAGACCTTCATTATACTGGCGCATCACCTGGAAGTAATTATAGCAAAAGAGAAAATGGGGAAAAGAGGAAGAGGGGGAATGAGGAATGAGAGGGTATTTTCTTTTTGTCTTTTTTTTAATTTATTTATTTTTTTGCATAAACAATATTTGTTTGGTTTTGCAAACTTCCTCACTTTCTAGCTTTTACTGCATGTGTTTATATTCCGGGGGGGGAAAGAGAGTGACCATGTAGGTAAATTAGATTGTTACTGGTCATACATTAACTTCCATCCATCCAGCCGTACATCCGTCTATCCAGCCATCCGTTGGTCAGTCCATCCATCCATCCATCTATCCATCCAGCCAGCCATCCATTATCTTGTACCTGCTTCTTCTTTTCCGGGTGGAGAGTTGTTTTTCACACACAAGGCAGCTGACGGCTCCGTACGAGGTAAGAGACATACGTTCACTTCCTGCTTTTGGAGCGGTCTCCATTCTGCTTGCATTCACACTGCATTTGAGTTCACTTCAACCGAACCGAGACCTAGGTATTTAGGCGGACCAGAGGTCGTGTTTTTGGTCCATATCAGAGTTCGATTACGCATTCACACCTCCCCAAATGAACTGGACTTTCTGGGCAAATGACCTAGAGTTTGATCAAAGCGGACTAAACAGGGCTGTTGTGAATGCACCCATAGAGACAAATGTGACAAAGCCATTCAATCTCTCTCACACACCTAGGGACAATTTAGAGTTACCAGTCAGCCTAACATGATGTTTTTGGTCTGTGGGAGGAAATCAGAGTATTCAGAGAAAACGCACGCATGCACGGAGAGAACATGTAAACTTCATACAGAAAGGCTCCGGGCCAGATTTGATTTGGGAACCTTCTCACAAAAGGCAACAGCTTTACCATCTGAGCTGCTGTGCCACCCATAAAATAACTTTTTAATAAATAAAAAAAACTTGAACTTTGTGTTTATATTCATGCAAATATTCTTATTCAGTTAGATCAGCTAAACTACTGAAGAACTAATATTTTGAAAAAAAAGGAACAACTGGAACTGAGTAGTTTAAAGTATCAAAAGCAAACTAGTAGGAATCTTTTCCAACCTGCTGGAATTTGCTGTGCAGAGCTGCGTACTGTGAACGTTGGATTCTTGCTGTAACAGCAGTCGGCCCCTGCTGCTTTTCAGTTCTCTGGGCCTGTTTTGAAAGGGCGTCTAAACGCCGGTGGAGGCTTTCAGCCTGGAGTTTGATGTCTCGTGTTATGCTGCTCTCTTTCTTCATCACACTGAATCGACGCATTGTTGCCACCAGAGTCTTTTGCTGCTGACCAAACTTAAAGACCTGTTTGCAGATAAGATTGAAAACGTTACTCTAAAAATAGCCTGCATAAAATGTAGGCTTATTTCAAAAGTTTACCAAGATCCTTGCACTTGCACCGCAAAGAAAAAAAAAAAGTCCAAATAATGTAAATTAACCATCTCACCTCTGTTTCTAGCACTGAAATGTCATCTCTGATTTTCTGAGCCTCGGAGAGGAAGTTCTGAATGACGGGCTCCTCTTCGAACACCACAGCCTGGGGTGTGATGCCCCCAACAACCACAGACTCATCCTCATTCCCATCCACTGAGAATGGATTTGTATGTTCTGTTGGGGCCTCTTGAACCTTTTGCTGCAGCTCCTCCAACCGGTCTTTCATCGTGGAGGGGCCTTTCCTTCAGCTCACCAAGTGTTTATATGCACTTTAATAACAAAAAGTAAAACTTGGGCAGTTCCTCATGGCACACCACTAAATTGGTGGCAATAATGGCAATAAAAAGGAAAGGCACTTGAAGATGGCATGAAGCACTAGTGCAAAAATCCTTATTTGATATTTTGAAAATAGTTTTGTAGATCCACAGCCAATTTAAAATATTCGATTGCTTCTCATACTCCAGTTCTCACAGTTTTTATGAGGTTCAGCTTGACAGTTCTTGGACAAACATCCTATAAGACAAACAGAGAAGCTAAGCATGTACTTCCATCTTGACATAAAGAAGTTAGAAAAACAACAAAACAAACAGACACTATTGAAATTAAACTACATAATGCATGAAGTAGATGTTTCGTAATGCAGTGCTATACAAGGAACAAGATGTGATTCTCTCTATTATCACAGAGTTCCAAACCTACAGAAAAGGCTTCAATAATATCTTAAATGTTTTCATCAACTACATAAAAACAAAACATGTTATAAGAAAATATGCCAAGATTTAAGTGGCAGTGATGTTCAAATTGTTCTAGATGTAAATAGTTTTATTTTACAAATCCATGAAATTATTTTGTGACAAAATAAGAATAATTTAATACTCCACTCAGATAAAAGGAAAAAGTGTATATTCTTGTTTTTATGTGACCTCAGTCTGACTTGAATATAGAGTAGTCCCTCGTTTATCATGAGGTTTGGGGGCCACGGCCCCCCGCGATAAGTGGAAAACTGTGAAGCAGAGATACAGTAGTCCAAGTTCAAGTTTCACTCCCAAGCTCCCTCCTTCTGTGTAAATAAACAATTTAAATTTAAAAGCTGTAATATTTTAAATAAACAGTCTTGTTTATTTAAAATATTACAGTATTTAAATTTAAATTGTAAAAAAAAAGAGAAGTGCAGCAGGACAGCAAAGTGTTAACCCTTCACCCAGCAGCAGCACGGAGCAGAAATGTACCTCTTGATAAATTGCACTGTCACAACTGAACATAGAAGTACTAAAATAGTTAAAAATAAACTTTTTCACACTTTTAGATTTTGTGCATATGATGATTTTATGATGTGACGTACTTTGAATTTTAAGCTGGAAGACAAAAGTCGATCAGTGCATCTGAACAGCAGAGTTCATGAAGCTGCTTCAGCCAGAGGAGAAATGTGTGGGTGGCAGAGAGCCGCAGGTGGCAGAGAGCAGAGATCATGACAGGCTGCAGAGCAAGCTTCTCCATGCACTTGTGCACAAAGGTGCAGCAGGTGCTAAATCATTTAAAATCATTTATTTTAAATAAACAATTGTGTGGCTCATCCATCAACCAGCCAATTGAGTGTCATGTCCAATCTTACTTTGAAAAACGAAAGAGCGAGTCTGCGAAAGTCGAACTGCGAAATGGTGAGGGACTGCTGTATTTACCCACGAGGATTATCATATTATCAAAAATCTCAGCAATAACAAGAAAACAACAGCTTTGCAGTCAATTTGATAATGAACTGTCTATAAATAGGCCTTGATGTGTAGAATATCTAAATTAAATAGGTAAATCATACACAAACATACATTCATGTGTCGTAAATAATTTCTACAGGTGAATAAAAAAGGAGATACACTAAGTAGGAATTCCAATTTTTAATTCATCTTGCCTTTTCTGTGACTTCAGAAATAAGCTGAAGTTGAGAGAAAGTAGCTATAGAATACAGATTTTTTTTAAGCCTTTAAGCATCACTTCCATTTACCACATGTCAGGCTTTCAAATCAACATACCAACCACTCTGAACTCCTATAGCAACTTGGAGATTTGAGCCCCAGAGTTTAGGACTTAATCTTATACAAGCATGTGACTGAATGGGGGGGACAATGTGTTTGGAAGCTGGGAAATGACGCATTACTAATCACAAACTAACCTATTTAGGTGCAGAATTAGAAAAGAAAGAAGACAAATTCAAGTTACATTGGTGTGTTTAAACTTATATAAACCTTTTCTACTTGGAACAATGTTATCTGAGCTGAACTATTTTCATTTTTGTGTCTGTCTCTCCCTACCTGTTTGGCACACAAGAGCTGATTAAAAAATTGCTGAAAGGATTTAGGAGCACATTCTCCTGCCTAAAAACGTGAAAGAAAGTGGAACATAGTTCAAGGAGTTCGGCTTGTTTCTGTGATAGAACATTATGTTCTCTGAAACGAGAAAAAAGTTCTTCATGCCGCACGTCTGCTCCTTTGTCTGTATTTTTGAAAGAAACCATTTGTTGACATTCTCCTATTTCCATGCAGGTATAAAAAACAAGGAGTGCCCCAATGATGCACTTCATTATGTGTTAAATGATGGCTAAGGCTTTACATTAATTGAAAATGTTCAGTATTACACTTGAAATGTCCCTGAAATACAAAGGTCTGAAAAGTTTGATAAGTGACATGTCAGATATAGATCTTTACTTCTTCACTTGAAACTTTATATAAACTCTATGCAACACTCTCTCTCTCACACACACACAAATATAGAACAAACATAAACTTAATTAAATTATGAAGTTATTATAAACCCTATGTAGAGTTCAGTTTACAAGGTTGGCCTATTTACAGTCAAGACTTCAACAGACACTTCTAATACAGAAATGATATTACCTTAATGTTGCTTATATTTCATCAGACTGTTGAGTAAATAGGCATGCAGTTTTATATTCTCAAGTCATCCTTTAACCTCTTGATGTTCACATGATTCTCATCAGCCAGGAGTTAAATATTTTAAAACAGATTTGCCAGCAGCTGTTTACCAGGACAGTTACTCCAAGCAGGGAGCGCTTTAAGGAGGTCTGAGCAAGTCTGCATCACGCACCTCCCCTTCTTTAAAAAAAAAAGCCTGAAGAGAGCCAATAGGAAAACGGTTAACTCAAGCCCTGCTTGCTTATACAATGAAATGAGAGGTGACGTGATTAAGTAAATGAGGAGGCTGGGATGGGATGGTGCGCACGGAGAGTTCATAAACCCTACCCCCTGGCTAATTCTTGAACAGGATAAGACGGAAAGCAAATAGAAGTGTATTGTGTACACAGCCAAGACCTTACAATGGAGACTGTAGTTAGGGCATCGGAGGAGGTGTTGGTTTTCTGGTCCAAGTTATTTTTTTTATTTTTTTTATTTTAAAAGTCTGGGTTCCTGGGGTAGACCCTCATGAACTGTGGGGTTTTAGGACACAATAACTCCTTTTAATAAACTTTACCGACAAGTCCCATGTGTCCCGAAAGCTTTTCAATAGTGAAACGGGCACAGCCACTCTGTGTTATTAAACATAATACGTTAAGAAAAGCTGTATGTGTGTTATTAAACATAATACGTTAAGAAAAGCTGTATGTGCTTTCATGCATCATTTTTTACAAGATCAATTCAACTCAGTTTATATCTCTCTCTCTCTCTATATATATATATAAGATGATGCTATTTATCTGAGGAGCAGACTGCTTTGAATTTAACTCCATCGCAGAACTCGTACGCATCTTGGGCAAGCACAACGGCAACAGTGGGAAGAAAAAACTCCCTCCCGAGGAAGAAACCTTTAGCAGAACCAGGCTCAGGACAAATAGCCATTTGCTTCAACCGGCTGGGTTTGAGAGGAACAGGAAGGAGGAATGGATACACAATGGCAGTTTGAGAATCACATTGAAATATCCATCCATCCATTATCTTTTACCTGCTTCTTCCATTTTGGGTCATGGGGGTCGCCGGTGCCCATGTCCGGCAATGACTGTGCGAGGGGTGGGGTACACCCTGGATGGATCACAAGTCCATCACAGGGCCACATAGAGACAAACGAGACAAACAACCATTCACTCTCACTCACACCTGGGGACAATTTTAGAGTTACCAATCAGCCTAACATGCATGTTTTTGGTCTGTGGGAGGAAACCGGAGTACCCGGAGAAAACCCACGCATGCACTGAGCGAACATGCAAATTCCACCCAGAAGGGTCCCCGGACCGGGATTTGAACCAGGGACCTGCTCGCTGAGAGGCAGCATCTATCGGTTGCACCACCGTGCTGCCCCACATTGAAATATAAATAGCATAAATTAAAACTATTCAATTTTAACAATTGGTTTAAGGAAATTAGGTCAATTTGTCTTCTAGTAGTCTAAGCCTATTGCAGCTTAACAAGCCAACCCTAACTATAGGATTTATCAAAAAGGAAAGTCTTAAACCCAGCCTTAAAAATGGACAATGTTTCAGCCCTACGGACAAAAACTGGAAGTTGTTTCCAAAAGAGAGGAGCCTGCTAACTGAAAGATCTTCCTCCCACTATGCTTTTGGAAACTCTAGGAACTGCAAGTAAACCTGCAGTTTGAGAGCAAAGTGCTCTGTTAGGAAAATATGGAACAATAAGATCTTGAAGATAAATATAGAAGTTGATGAGGACTTCTGAGGCCAATCAATATCTTTGAGTGGATCAATCACCAGAGCAGCACATGCTATGAATTCACTCACACCTATTAGTAGAACTAAACGAATATTAATTAAAACGCATTACAAAGCCTAAAGAGCTTTTTAACTATATAATGACTATCCAATGCTGTTTTTATTCTATTGTGTGGTGTTATGCTGATAGTTATTTACTAAATATACAAGTGCTGCTAACTGTGCAGAAGGTAAGCCTGCATTCTGAAATGATGACTCAGCTCATTTCTGCATCACTGATAAAGGACTGACCTTCCACTAATTTTTGAAAACTCATTTTCTATTTGACGGTTCCTCATTGGTTCTCTTCAAAATGTTACTGAAACAAAAACATCTCACATCAAAACAAGTACATTTGTTTGCTAAAGTCATTTCAAAAGATGCGGAGTTCACAAATCTGTTGAATGGCTCTGGAGTTGCAAACAATTGAATAATGTTTTTTTTTTTTTTTAATCATTTTTCCTCCTTGTGATTTTTCTTTTGTTTTTCCTGCTCATCTGCAGACATGAACACTCCCAATTTGCTTTTCCACTGAGACAAATAGAGGGTTCCACGCTTGACATTTCATGTGCCCATCTATTTACGTCACTACGTACAGACCATGTGTTATGACATCACTAACCTTTCATATTTTAACGGCTCTAAAAATAATGGCTCTACAAGATCTGGTTTCCTTCAAAGAGCCATATTTCACATCTCTAGTTATATCTCTCTGCTGCAAAGCAAAAGCCATTGAGCTCCCTATACTTTTTTTTTATTTTCCTTTGGTAAAGATTAGTATAATAATGTCTTTTTGGGTAATAAAAAATATAAAATGTTTGTTTTTGCATAGCAAATAGAATAGTAAAACTTATTAAACATTTAAACTAATGTCCTTTTTAAAATGCATATGAATTGTGATATCTCAGTCTAATGTTTGACATAATATTCCCATTTATTCTAAACCTGAGTATTGTGGTATCGGAGATGATTCAGTTTTGAGTATTTAGTGTATTTTTTTATGAGGGGTGGAGCTAAACTTTTTTTCTTTTTGCTAGAAAATGTCATCACAGCCATCTGGGAAGTTTCTGATGATGTCATAGCTTAAGCCTTCATGATAAAAATAAACACCAAGTGAGACTTTTAATTTTTGAGAAACGAAACAAATCAGATGCAGTTTGTTTTCTATGACTCAAGTGTTTTTTTCAACACAGATTATAAAAACGTATTAATGCCCAAACAGTAAAAATATCTTGGTTGATATAACAAAATACTTATTTGCTTCTTTTTTTTTTTTTTTTAACAGTTAGAGGGAGCATATCTTTACTGCCCAGTTGTTGAAGAGTTTTGCTGAGATGTATTACTCTTCTCCCAAACTTGTTGACCACAACTAATATTCCATTTAGGTTCTGTTAACATATTCACTGACAAACATAAACTCATAATACTTGTACACATGACATAATGTTATTTACAGTAAGCTTAACTGGCATGGAATCTTGCAACTAAGCACACAGTTCCTGTTGTTTCAGGAAGAAACAGGATTTTTGATGAGCTCCCGTTTAGCTTCAAACCTCATCTATAATGCAAAGACCCAACATCTGGCTGAATACAGAATTTTTTAGGTGCTGTTAAAGTGACAATGCATATACAATTTTACTGTGATGTGTATGTTTACACAGTTGTCTTTTGGGTATTGGCATGTAATATACTAGAACATGTAGTATACTACTATGCAACAATGTAAAATCACCCTTGGATAATGCAGTTTTGCCAGACTGAAATGAATCAGCTGTGAGGTCAGCTGATAAATTGAAGGGGAAGCATAAAAGGTGCATGTTGCTAGAACGTGCATATGATACTTCAACATGGATATTCACACATTTGTTTGCAGTATCGGTTCAGTATCTGAAAAGCATGAAAGTATAAAACCTCACTGGTGTTTTATCTCAAATACACTCGGGTCAGGAGGGCATGTTGAGAAGTCTTGGCTGTTGTATCAAGAGGAGTTTGTCTCACAATATAGCTGCTGGAGGGTTCTTTTGGTATTTCTGTAAATGAGAGAATGTCAGAAGCAGTGCTTTGGTGCTCTTCAGTGAACGAAAAGAAGAAATGAAAAAAAAAAAAAGAAAAATGAATGGAGAGAGAGAGAAATAACAAAAAACTCCCAAACAGCCTCTCAGTCACATGCTTGTGTGTGAAAAAAAATATGCAGTGTTTCACCAAGGGTTTATCATAAAAGAAGTATACAACTGATATACCGTTAGAGAATTATTAAAGACAATTTTTTTTTATTTTTTTTTTATGTCAACAGCAAAACTCGTTTTATCAAACAATAGGGCATTGTCTGGGAGGAAAGGGTAATATTGCAGGGACTACTGTAAATGTGTTTACCTGAGATATTTAGCTTCTTAAACAGTGTTGCTAATACACTATCATATGCTTATATTGTAAGTTATGTATCACCAATCCATGGCCTAAACAAAAATTATTATGATCCACAAAAATGCTCCATCAAATGTTGTGACGATGACGTGGCAGGGCAATGTCTAACATTTAAAAGAAGACCAGCATCAGCATGATATGTGGGTTATATACCAGGGGAACAAAAGGCTGGGGAAGGGGAGATAAATGAGTAAGGTGAAAGAGATGGTCAGGGGGGCAAGGATAATGAGGTCAAAACTATTGTCATAGAGCTAATCGGAAAGATTGATACCAGGGTTGGTGGCTTTGAACTACTGGAATGATAATAGGTGACATGCTAACCTTGGGGAGTGTGTGGTATTGTGCCTTTGGGCATTTGGGGTTTAATTTGCACTCATATATAAACTAAAGTTGATAATTATCCCAGAAACTTGCAATTTTACACAAGCACTCTATTTCAAAATGTTCCCGTTTTATCCACATTATGTTTAATCTCAACATATTAAACGTGCTAAAGACGAAACTCTGTTGTTTTTCACAATAAGAAAAACAAATCAAAACAAGAATGTTTACTCTTTTCGGCAAAGGCCAGCAATATAATCAATTTGCTAATCTTAATTGTTTAAGTCACTTGAAAAAAATAAAAAATAAAATAAAGATTCATCCATTAATTTATCCATCCCATACATATCATTTATTATTACAAAATCAAACATAGTGATTTGATCTTTCTGCCATTTTCTCTCTTCTGTGAATAGTATTTTTATTTTTTTTATTTTTTATTTTGTGGTGAAGTGGCAGTGTTCTTCACAATTTCAATGTGACAAAGGTGCTAGTTTTGACAGGGACAGGTAACATGTGGCTAAGGTTACTGTCAGTCAGACAGCCTAACCACATGTCCCCACGTCCCCAACACACAAAGA